AAGAGTTCGACGACGTGATGCCATCGGAGTTGCCCAAGAAGCTGCCACCAAGAAGAGAGGTGGACCACAAGATCGAGTTGGAGCCAGGAGCGAAGCCCCCTTCGCGAGCACCATACCGCATGTCGCCACCAGAGCTAGAGGAGTTGCGGAGGCAGCTCAAGGACTTGGTGGACGCAGGCTATATGCGGCCATCGAAGTCACCTTTTGGAGCACCGGTGCTGTTCCAAAAGAAGAAGGAAGGGTCGTTGCGCATGTGCATCGACTACCGAGCCATCAACAAGTTGACGGTGAAGAACAAGTGGCCGATTCCCAACATTGGCGATCTGTTCGATCAGCTTGGAGATGCTATGTGGTTCACCAAGCTAGATCTTCGCTCGGGCTACTATCAAGTGCGGATAGCAGAGGGAGATGAGCCAAAGACAGCTTGTGTGACGAGGTATGGCTCTTACGAGTTTCTTGTGATGCCATTCGGTCTCACCAACGCACCAGCCACGTTTTGCACTTTGATGAATCAAGTGTTCGAGCCATTCTTGGACCGGTTTGTCGTGGTCTACTTGGATGACATCGTTGTGTATAGCAAAACACTCGATGAGCATGCCGAGCATCTACGCCAAGTCTTCCAAGTCCTTCGCGACAACGAGTTGTACGTCAAGAGGGAGAAGTGCACATTTGCCGCCACGGAGGTTCCATTCTTGGGGCACATCATTGGTGGAGGCAAGTTGAAGATGGATGGAGCAAAGGTGTAGGCAATCCAAGAATGGGAGCCGCCGACGAAGGTGCCAGAGTTGCGGTCATTCCTCGGCCTTGCCAACTACTATCGGAGGTTTATCAAGGGCTACTCCAACATTGCAGCACCCTTGACGGATCTCTTGAAGAAGAACAAGGCGTGGGATTGGTCGGAAAGGTGCCAAGAAGCATTCGAGGCCTTGAAGCAAGCAGTGGTGAAGGAGCCCGTGCTCGTGCTCCCCAACCCAACGTTGGCCTACGAAGTGCAGACCGATGCGTCCGACTTCGCGATTGGAGGAGTGTTGATGCAAGATGGGCATCCCATTGCCTTCGAGAGTCGGAAGCTTAGCGAGACGGAGAGGCGATACACCGTTCAAGAGAAGGAGATGACGGCAGTGGTGCATTGTTTGCGCACATGGAGGCACTACTTGTTGGGGTCAAAGTTCGTAGTGAAGACGGACAACGTGGCAACGAGCTACTTTCTTACGCAGAAGAAGCTCACCCCCAAGCAAGCGAGGTGGCAAGACTTTTTGGCCGAGTTCGACTTCGTCATGGAATACAACCCAGGCAAGGCGAATTCCGTTGCCGATGCTCTTAGCCGCAAGAGTGCAGCCGCAAGCATCAGCCAGCCTATGTTTCCTTTGAAGGAGCGGATCGTTGAAGGCCTTGGCCATGACCCCTTCGCCAAAACCGTAGCGGAGTACATCGAGCAAGGCAAGACTCGACGGTTTTGGATGAAGGATGGGCTCATCATGACCAAGGGAGAGCGAGTGTTCGTGCCAAGGTGGGCCAACTTGAGGAAGGAGATCATGAAGGAGTGCCATGACTCCAAGTGGGCGGGCCATCCCGGCATCGAGAGAACGCAAGCACTCATCGAAGAAGCATACTTCTGGCCGCGTATGAGAGACGACGTGGAGATGTATGTGAAGACTTGTCTTGTGTGCCAACAAGACAAGATGGAGCAGAGAAGCCCGGCAGGCTTGCTAGAGCCCTTGCCCACACCTCAACGACCATGGGAGAGTGTAAGCATGGACTTCATCATCGGACTTCCCAAAGTCGATGGGTGCGGTTGCATCATGGTTGTTGTGGACCGGTTTTCGAAGTATGGAGTGTTCGTCCCCGGCCCAAAAGACATGACGGCAGAGGATGCGGCGCGACTATTCTTCAAGAACGTGGTCAAGTATTGGGGCGTTCCTAGCAACATCGTGAGCGACAGAGATGGGCGCTTCACGGGCAGATTTTGGCGAGAATTGTTCAAGATCATGGGCTCAGACTTGAACTTCTCGACGGCATTTCATCCTCAAAGCGACGGACAGACGGAGCGGGTGAATGCCTTGTTGGAAGTGTACTTGCGACACTACGTGAGTGCAAACCAACGAGATTGGGTGAAGTTGATGGATACGGCACAATTCTCCTACAACTTGCACCGCAGCGAGTCGACCAACACGAGTCCATTTGAGTTGGCGACGGGGCAGCAACCTTTGACACCTACGACGGTGGCAACGGGGTATAGAGGCAACAGTCCGGCAGCCTACAAGTTCGCTAAAGGCTGTCACGAGAAGATGGAGATGGCCAAGTCTTACTTAGCCCGCGCTAGTAAGAAGATGAAGAAATGGGCGGACAAGAAGAGGCGGCACTTGGAATTCGAAGAGGGAGACATGGTGATGATCAAGTTCTACCCTCATCGCTTCAAGCATCTCAAGAATGTGCACAAGGGACTGCTTCGCCGCTATGAAGGGCCATTCCCCATCGTGAAGAGGATTGGCGCGGTGGCATACAAGGTTGAGTTGCCGACGCACTTGGAGATCCATCCGGTCTTTCATGTGAGCCAACTCAAGCCTTTCCACGAAGACAAGGATGATGAGCAGCGAAGAGAGTCGCAACGCGCTCCAACACTCATCACCAAGACACACGACCATGAAGTTGAAGAAGTCATGGCGCGTCGTGTCATTCCTCGTCGTGGCGTACATCCAAGCTTTGTGGAGTACTTGGTCAAGTGGCGCAACCTTCCGGAAAGTGAAGCAACTTGGGAGAAAGAGCTTACGCTTTGGAAGAACAAGGACTTGATCGAGGCATTCCATCAAGAGGACGCGACGAGGGCGTCGCGAGCATAGGTGGGGGAGGATGTCACATGTGGCCGATGACATGGCGCCAACAAGGTGACAACAAGGCTGCACATGTGTCATGCATGGAAGACTAGTAGCATAGAGATGCTCCTAGGATTCTCCACCTTAATAGAGAGCTTAATGGTGCACTTATTAGCTACATTATGGTAGTATTTATAGAGTGCATAATGGGGGGACTTAATGGGTGTATTGATGTAGTAGAGGGACATTATGAGGGGCATTAATGCCTTGTATGAGGAGAGGCCTATATAAGGAGCCATCTCCCTCACTTGTAACTCATTCCATCATTTTTTAGAGTAATACACACTAGAGAGTTCTCCCACTTCCTCTGTCTTGTTCTTGTTCTTTGCTTTCAAGTGAGTTGAGAGAAAGGCTGCCTAGCGCTCTAACGGAATTGAGAGCTAGGGCCGCACGATCGAGAGTAAGGTCGTGACAGGGCGCGGTCGCTGGTGCAGGCGAGAGCAAGGGTTGAAGACGATGGCGAGTTGGAGACCGTTGGGGATAGGGGAAGAAGAGGACTTGGGAAGAAGATGAAAGAGAGGAGAAGAAGAGGAAGGGGAGGGGAGAGGACGGAGTCTGGGGAAGGGCAGGGGAGGAGACAACGGTCTTTGTGCGGAACTGGGTGAAGAGCTGGGTGAGTTGGGACTGTTCGACGAGGGTGGAGGCGGCCAGGCGAGAGGGTAGACAACGAGTGGGGTTTGGAGACGGGTAGGGTTAGGTTTTCGCTTGGGGTTGGGACTTGGGGGGATTTTGGGAATGGAGAAGCGGGGTCGTTTTGGGGAAGCAGAAGTGAAGCGGGGTCATTTTGGGAACGGAAGCGAAGCAGCGTCTTTCGGGGTGGGGAGCGGAAGCAGGGTGGGTTAACCTTGGTTAACCGCGTAACTGGTTTTTGGTTACTCGGTTAACCGAAGCACCACTCACGCCTTTTGAACACCAACTGTGAAAAGTAAAGGGGCGGTTTTCGATTAATCGAAAAACGACGGTTTCAGTTAAAACCGTTTGTTAACCGCTAACCGGAAACCGCCCATCCACCCCTAGTCACAATTAACTCGTTCCATCTTTGCAAAAAAAAAAAATCAATTTAGAACAAAAAAGATAAGAGTCGATTAAGAAAACTAGGAAAATTAAAAAGCCTTTGATCCTAAACCTTTAGATCATGACCCTTTTGAGCCTAGTGTAAACTGGATTTTTTAACAAACTACCATCCTTAAAAAAAATACAAAAGTACCACCCAATCCTACAAAATTCCAAAACTACCACCATTAATCGAGGTGCGGTTCTCATTCAAACCGCACGGGCAAGAGACGGTTTACCATTGGGCAACTGCAAAACCGCACCTCTACGTGGCGGTCTATGCAACCGTGCGATGGGCAGGCGATCCGACGGCTAACCGCCTGCCAGCGGAGCGATCTGCGTCGCCCACTGATAACCGTTGCCTGAGGGCGCGGTTTGCATGTCAGAAATAGTGGTTTGTTGGTTGTGGCTAAGTCCGATCTGCTTTCAAAAAGATTTTCTTTGGTTTTCATTAAAAAACCATCGAATCTCTATCCGGATCCTGGAAATATGGTCGATTTTGTCGAAGAAGAGGGTATTTACTATGATTACTATCAAGCGGTACGTACTCATTTTACCTAATTTTAGTTATTGTTGTAATGATTTTATTTAATCTATATACTAATTGATTTATGTTGGTGTTATGCTATCGTAGGTTGGGGCGGATGTTGATATATACAATCAACGATATTATGTTGATCAAGGGCCGATTGATCCCCCCATTTCCTGGGAAAATCGGGTTCTAAGCGATCCTCGGATCCCCCCCCCCTTTTTTCTGCCAAACAGACTGTGTTTCTAAGGAGATGTATACATCTCCTAAGAGTCTTACGAGTGTACTTGTACTGCTTTAAATTATTGAAAACAATCAATACGAAGTACAAAATAATATATTTGATTTTATGTGTATGTGTACAAAAAGAATTTTATTTAAATTTCGAAAATGGTATTCATTTTAGGTAGCTCATTATTAATGTTTTTTAAATTATGTATATTTCTTGGAAACAACCTTGATTTCATTAATTGATATTGTTTGTTATAATAGATTTATATATGTATAAATCATAAACTTATAGTGAAAGTCAGACTCTTCCCTAGGATGCATACCATATAGTCCGTTATAGGGGTACGACGAATGTGCTTGAATGGAACGACACCATCTTGCCCTTTCTAAAAAGGGCAATATTGGATCCCATTAGGCACATTAATGGAATAAAGATCAACCGCCAACTCATCACGACATTGGTAGATAGATGGCGAAAGGAGACACATTGCTTCAATTTTCGTGAAGGCGAGTGCACCATCACACTTAAGGACATCGCCATCCTAACCGATTTTTCCATCGATGGCGTTGTTATTTGTGTGGACTCTACTCCACCAGCTAAAGTTGTTGCCAATATGAGTGGTTGGCAGCATTTCATATGGACCATCACAGGGTTGTGTCCGCCAGAAAAGGGAGATCACATTGCGGATGGTAATCCACCATTGTCCAAGGGCCAAGTATCCATCACTTGGTTGACAGCGGAGATTAGGCGTAAGCACAAACCTGAGGTCGGAGGCATTCCCCTCACGGAGGAAAGTTCGGAGCGTCATAAAGAAATTTATGCACGTATCTACATCCTCGACATGATCAGAGGAGTTTTCTTCCCAAAAAAATCCAACAATTTAATCAGCAATTCATGGTTAAAGATCATATTTGGAGATTGGGAAGATATGGGGAACCTGAGCTGGGCATCTGCTTGCCTATCTCATCTCTACCGCTCCCACTATAATGCTAGTTCCAGAGCGGTGAAGGAGATTGATGGGGTCATGTTCATCGTCCAATTTTGGGCTTGGGAGCATCTGCCATGGATTGCGCCGAAGGATGACCCCGACAAGGAATGGGGACCTGACCATCCCCTACGACATGGAGCTTATGGTTGTAGGTAAACATCTTCGATCCCACTCATAGTTCTCACCTTTTTTTTACTAATTCGGTATTTTATAAAATAATTTTTAGTATGTATTAACATTGTGTACTTTTCCATATTAATAGGTGGCTTGGTGAAACAACATGCAACAACCTAGTCGCGCATAAGCTGGAGGAGTATCGTAGGAGGCTGGATCACCTTTGGGAAGCAGAGGTAACCATAATAATACACAATTACTTCCTTCTCTATTTTCGACTTGCTTTATTATGTTTCTTGATGTTCCATTTGTTCTGCACCTTCGTAGCTTAAGTTCGATCCGTATCCTGAACGCATCGTCGCGCATCACGTCCACAAGTTCACGTTGCATCCCGGTCAATGGTGCACTCGAGTGCCACTAATCTGCCTCCATATAGTGGAGTGGCACTTGCCGGATCGATGCCTATGACAATTTGTATGTGAGCAATGCCTACCATTGGAAGTCCCGACGAGTCAAAGGGGGTACCACAGGAAAGATCATCGACAAGGATCTACTAATTGGCCCAAGGAGTTTGAAAAATTGATCAATCTGTGGAATAATAGGCAAGATCAAGAGATTTTGACGACATCAGCTGTGGGACGGATGGGGTACCATGACCCATACATGGAAACATACCGAAGACAATCCGTATGTTACATGATGCCCGAAGGTACGGCGGGCGGAGCTTTGGTAAGTAATTCCGTCATATTAATTTATTTAGTTACTTTGAGCATCAATTTATGTATTCATGCAAATCATTATATTTAAATGGCTAACGTTGTTATTTTCTGCGATTTAGGTTGATGGCATCGAACGTATACACGATATCGCTCTTACTGCATATTCTTTGGCGACGGGGCGAGAGGTGGGGCTCATCCGGATGATAGAAAATAGTCTCCTTGGCTGTATGAGAGCGTGCGCCCTTGACCATCATAGATATCTGCTAGTTCCCCAAGTTGCACCAGCTTCGGTGATGCAAGATGACCCCATCCCGCCTCCGCCGGTCCATAGAAGGCCAAACAAGGATACAAGGGATCGACCTCACGTGCCCGAGATCAAGCCGATTGAGGCATGAAAGGTGCCTAATCCATTGGAGGTGTGCCAAGGTGCAGGGTCGAGTACTCAGTACGATCCCCGTTCGAGTTTTCACTATGATCCGCGACCGAGTGCTTTCTACGACCCTAGTACTCAACACGAGCCTCGCCCCAGTTACCACTATGACCCCCACGCCTAGTTACCACTATGATCCCCCGCCTAGTTACCACTATTATCCCCGACCAAGTTTCCAATACAATCCCCGACCTAGTTTCCACTATGATCCCTGGCCGAGTACATATCACGACGGCATATCCTCGGCTACTTGGCACGATGGTTCATCCTCGAGTCCCCACCAAGACTTATCACCTTTGCATCGACCGCAACAACAATGACAGTCCACTCCCCAACGTATGAGCGTGGATGGGACTCGACCGCACACGGAGGAGCCACCTAGCACGACACCGCAGCGACATAGGAGGGACCAACACCTTTCTACGGCGAATAGGCCTCTTCCACCACGTCCAACCACGGTTACACCCGGTGTACCAGTTGCCCATCGAACAAGCAAACAGAGGGCGAATCGTCGAGATAATGCATGAGTGTGACCCAATCGTCGAGTTTTATTAAAGTTAAACAAGTTGTGTTTATTTCAAGTTATGTTTTGTTTGAGTGTTATAAGGTAAACAAGTTGTGTTTATTTCAAGTTATGTTTTGTTTGAGCGTTGTGTTTCATGTAGAAGTGTGTTTGTGTGAGTGATGTGTTTATTAATAAAATTGGAACATTGCATCGAATTGTGGAAATTTTGCAAATATCCAATGGCATTTAATCACACAAAAACCAAGTACGTAACCATTGAAATTAAATCACTTTGTGAACCATGTGAAAATCATGGTCCATGGAACCGTACCGGAGACCGTACCGGGAAAGTCAGCGGTAGGGTATTTTATGGTAAAATCGTGGTTTAACCGTAGTTCAACCGTTATACCGATAAATACCGCATATCGGTTTAGCCTCCGATACTGGTATTTTGTGGTTGAACCGCCGGTACGGTACGGTTTAATGGACACTGGTGAAAATGCATGAAATCAATCTATGCGTCGTTATCTGGGCTCACCACATCGGGACCTGGGTTTTGAGGTCCAATTGGTCCAGGACAATTTCGTTTATCATGCCCTGGTACTTTGCAGATGGAACACCGCCTTGGCCCTCGCGGTGGTCCCCCACTTTGATCCATCTCATTTGGAATACTTTTTACCCGCGGGCGACCTGCTTCACCCCTAAGTCCGATTGGTGGGATGATGACCTTTCCCTCATAGACTGGCTAGTAAGCTTCATCCGGCAAAGCACGAAAACTCATTCCATAACTGCTCTTTTGTGAGTCAATGTTGAAGAACGGACTGACAAAATGACGAGGGTATTTGCTCCTGTGCTTGATTACAACCATTACATGGGAGCAAGGTATACCTCTACCCTGATACTTCTGACAAGAGCACTCCCATTTTTTGGTCCTAAAGTTGACGGTGACTTCATGGCGATGACCCCGCGTCTCCCATCCTCCCAGTGCCCGGTCTCGACCGAATACTCGCCAGCATTTTGGTTCATAACAGTGACAGTGTGCCGAGAGCTCTTTCGATTATATTTTCCATTATTTCTGTGGCCGTATCGGAGTGTACCTTACCCTGTGCCTCCCTCTTCTCCGCGCAGTGGAGACGGTTAACGAACCATGCGTTCGTTTTCCGGAATGTCATCTCAACAATTGCAGAGATGGGGAGTGCACTAACAACCATGTAGACGTTGTTGATACTCTCGCTTGAGTTCGTTGTGGCAATACCCCATCTGGTAAATCCGTCATTATGAAAATTCCACGTTGTTAGGTCATGTTCATCAAGCCACTACGCACCTTCAGGGCTTAGCTTACGGATATTCTGCATCTTCTCTTTAAATTTCTTCTCTTGGTAAGCGACAACTGATGAATATACAAACAAAAGCGTAAGGTAAGTAATAGCCATTTGGTTGTTTTCAAAAGAATTTGAGCAATACAAGTACACTTGTAAGACTCTTAGGAGAGGTATACATCTCCTTAGAAACACAACCTTTTTGACAGAAAAAGGGGGGATTCGTGGATCGCTTAGAACCAGTTTTTTCCAGAAAATGGGAGGATCATGATGATCGCTTCAGACCCCATTTTCTTAGGCATGCATTTCTTTATAAAGAGTCTAAATAAGTGTTGTATTGTATTGATTTAGTATCGTTTTTCCAGTTAACAAAATTATTAGACCAATGAAATAGAACTCTTACCGGTCCACCATAGACTATCAGCAAGCTTCTTCCAAGCTGGATCCAAACCTAAGATGGAAGCCCTTATACCGGCGTGGCGATTAGAGATGATGGTTAGGTTCGTCCGCCTGGTGACGTGGAGTTGAATTTGTCTGAAGAACCATCCATAGTTGTCGGTATTCTTTCCCTCAACAATGGCAAAAGCTAATGGAAATACTGCTCTATTTGCATCTGCTCCGTTGGCGATCAGTAGAGTACCCTTGTACTTTCCGGTAAGGAATGTTCCATCAACTTGAATCACAGGAACACAGAATGGAAAACCATCAATAGATGGCTTGAATGACCAGAAAAGACGCTTGAAATGGCGCTTGTTACCGGGATCCGGCGGCTGAATTTCTTCATCTTGGTTGCGGGGAGAGAAAACGGTGCTAGGGTTAGACCCCTCCAATGCCAAAATCAATCTGGGAAGGAATGCATATGATTCTTCCCTGCTTTCCATGCCACGCCTTCTCGTAGTTAATGATATATCCATAACGACTAGAAATGTCGGCGATGATGGTTTTAACCTTCAGGTCGGGCTGCTCCTCAATTAGATGTTTGACAGCCGCGACAACCACCCTGGATTTCAACTGTAGATGGCCTTGGGATGTTATGGATGACACACATGTGTGAGTGTTCATCGCACGGGATATGACCCAATGGCTGACTCTCTTGCTCTTGATGGCCCGGACCCTAGCCTTGCATCCCTCGTGTTGACTTTGGCATCTAACCATCAACCTCTTTGTGTCGGAATGGGTTGGGTTCCATTCAAAACTCCGAGTCATTGCTTCAGTGGCAATAGTGTGCCTCACCTCATTCTTCGTTGCAAATTGTTGGCCCTTCGTAAAGCCAGTGAGTGGACCCCATACTGGCACCTCTGGCGACTCCATGTCGGGATCAACATACCAATCTTCATTTGGAATGTGATTGTAGTACCGGATAGGTACATGGTCGCGAGGCACCTCATCACCGTCTGCGTCTGAATCTAGACCGGAATCATCAGCACCTTCAAGAGGATTGAAGTTGTTTGCACTGACATCGCCTTCCTCTTCTTCAACCTCGGGGTCACTAACTGGACTTGGATTGACATCTTCCATATGATCAAGATCATGAAAGGCACCTTCATCAGCTCCGTAATGGTAGTTGTGGTAACCAATATAGTCAAAAACGAGTTTCTACGCATAAACATTTTGGTGATCTAGAAGCGTAAAATCGTAAGTTTGTGAGTTTTAAAGCGGAGTTTTTAACTACATAAGTTATAAAAACTAAGATTTTGTGTAGAAGGGTTTTAGTGACCCAGAAACGTAAAATCGTAAGTTTTTAAGTTTTAAAACGTGATTTTGACTACATTGGTAACTACCGCATTGGTAGAAGTTGTACTAGGGTTGGTACTGGTAGCCTTCTTGTTGGTTCCCATCCGTCTGTTGAGCTTCTGCTTCATATGCTGGGAAGGATTGATGATGACCTCCAGTTCCATCATGATACTCCTGACACCAGCTTGGGTCTTGGTACTCCAGGTGGGGATGATCTTCGTATAATCCACCCCCACCGTGGATACCAGATGTTTGTTCATCTCTAGAATGACCTACATCGCCTTCGACCACCTCGGTGTAAATGAACATCACCGCTTGTTTAATGTTATTGGTGGTCAAAAATTGGACCATGGCATCAACGTCCTCCTGAGTGGTAATGAGGAATTCCTCATTCAACAACGACCCGCCATGTCTGTTTGGATATTGATACACCATACGATCAACTCTTCTAGTGCCATCCATGCAGGTAACCTCAGTACACATTTGATGGAGCTCTTCAAGCATCGGTCTCGTAGCGACCTTCATTTTATAAAAATTGCCACCCACGTACCGTACACCCTTTCCGGTCTCTTCCGTGTAACCATTTCACCGTAACCCAAGCGTGAACTTTTGGAATGCCATCTGCAATAAAACCGTAACTAAGCTAATAACATAAAAATCACAAATAACAATGAAAAGTAATACAAAACAAACTTACGAATTAAAGTTAATCGCAAAAACTAAAAAAATTAAGGTGCACAACTGAAATTTGAACAAGAAGAAGGAGAGGAGTGAATATTTTGAGTTTTCTGGGGCTTCCTTTTATAGGAAAATTTTACACTAAAAACCGCATGGGGGAGCGGTTTTAGTCTGGCATGCAACCCCCACCCCTACAACCTCCTGCATGCCGACATGTCGGATGTCGGGGGAATGGGGCTGAGGCACAAACCGCTGGGGGGGGGGGGGGGTTGTGCATCGACATAGTAAACCGCTTACCTGAGGGGCAGTTTATGTTGCCGACACATAACCGCACCCAGAGCACGAGGTTTGTGCTAGGTCATCCATGGGAACTGCTCCTTCGAAGAGCAGTTTTCCCAAAAAACACAAACCGCTCTTCTTGCATGCGGTTCCATGGTAAATCGCCGCCTTGCTATGCAGTTTTTGTTGTAACTGCCCCTGCGTGGTGCAGTTTTCAATTAAAGGGTGATAGATTTGGAATTTTTTGGTATGGTCGTGGGTGGTAGTTTTTATTTTTTAAAAAAATACAGTGGTA